ATGACTCGGACGACCGACTCTGGTATAATTGACAATTTAACGACAATTAGCAACTCCAAAGTCAACCGAGAGATGTCGCCAGCGCTTGTAAGTACACCACCGTCCGGAATTCTATTTTCATTCCCTTATTCCCTAATTATCATTCACTAAAGCGAGGTTAAGGGAAAGGTTGCTTAGGGACATATACCGGCTGTGTCTCCCTTTGACTGTAGTTTTTGCCAGCTTTGCTCTTTCTGCACAACTATGGAATTTCCTTCACGAGAATCACGTTGCATGCGGAAAGCTTAAGTTAATAAATGCACTGAAAATATATATACATACATGTATACATATACACGTATGTACGAGGGGGCTTCAAAAAGTTCGTGGAAAAAGTCCGTAACTAAAAATCGTATGGAAGGATTTTGATTTCAATGCACCTGGATATTCTTATACCAACGTGTTATAACGTGTCCAAACATAAACCCTTTATGCAGGTAATAACGCATCGCCTCCAGTTGGAAGTCAGGCACCATTCAAGTAACATGGAATCCACCAAAATCGAGGCCAGGACAAACATTAAATTCATGGTGAAACTCGGTTGGGAGAATAAGCAAATCATTGACGCTCTGGAACAACTTTATGGTGACAATGCCCCGAGAAATCACCAATCTACAAATGGATAAGCCGATTCAGAGGTGGAAGAAACGAAATTGAAGATGAACCCCGCAAAACATTGATTCTATTCGCGACATGATTGAAAAGTATAGATGAATAACCACTGAATCATTAGCAGAGACACTTAATATCCCTGTGGGTTCTGCACACACAATTCTGGTGGAGAGTTTAGGGCTAAGCAAGCCTTCCGCTCGATGGGTCCCTAGGCTGTTGCGCCCAGATCAGCAGCAAACAAGGGTAGATCTTTCAATGCAAATTTCGAACAAATGGAATGAGGACTCTGAAGCTTTTCTGCAGATCATTGTGACAGGTACGATCCGAGGACAAAATTCAACCAAAGCAGTGGCTGCTCAGGGTTGGAAGTGGACTACTCAAAGCACTCTTCTGGGTTGCAGTGGGGGTTTTGCTGGTTGACTTCCTCGAGAGCAAAAAATCTTAGAAAAACGCCCTGGAAAGCTGCATCAACGCGTTCTCTTCCAACACGACAAGGCACCCGCTCACGGCGCTCGGCAGACAAGAGCTGTGCTACGTGAATATCGATGGAAAATTGACCGAAATCCACCTCACAGCCCCGATTTATCCCCATCCGACTTCTTTTTGTTTCCAGATTTAAAGAATAATTAAAAGGTACCAATTTTCCATCGGTTGAAGATGTAAAACGAACCTCTCTGACATGATTCAGATCACATGACCCGCAGTTTTAAAGGCTGGTATCAACGTTTGCAGAAGTGTATTGACCTTAATGGAGCAATATTGAAAAATAAACATAACTGAAACCGTTTTTTCATACTGTCCTTTTTCCACGAACCTTTTGAGCCCCTTCGTACGTACATTCACACACACACACACACACACACACACACACACACACACACACACACACACACACACATATATATATGTGTGTGTGTGTGTGTGTGTGTGTGTGTGTGTGTGTGTGTGTGTGTGTATATATATATATATATATATATATTGTATGTATACAGTATATATACACATATATATTCTATGTATATATGTATATATATACACAACTAAATCCTGCAGTAAAGGAAGGAAAGGAGAGAGAGCGAAGGAGAAACAGAAAGGCAGACAGAGAGTGAGATAAATCAACAGCTGTGATTGGACAGCCCTGCCCACTGATGGTCACTGGCTCACTGATGATCTAATTATCATAATCAACAACGTCTGGGCCACGGCTAATTGGATGAAAATTCTACCACCGGCCGCTATTTGGGGTCTCTCTCTCCTTGCTTCTCGGTTTTGGAAGGAGGAAGACAGATAGAGTGAGAGTGAATAAGAGAGAGAGAAAGAGAGAAAGGGAGGGAGGGTGGGAGGGAGGGAGAGAGGGAGAGAGAGGGAGGGAGAGGGAGAGAGAGGAGAGAGAGAGAGAGTAGGAGGGAGGGAGGGAGGGAGGGGGGAGAGGGGGGGGGAGGGGGGGGGAGGGGGGGGGAGGGGGGGGGGGGGGGGGGAAGAGAGAGAGGGATGAGAAAGGGGTGTTAGATACGTCAAGATGTGGGTATATTGTGGATAGAGATAGAGGGTGGATACGTATAGATAAGTAGACAGTAAGGTGTGGGTATACTGTGGATAGAGATAGATAATGAAGAATAGGTATATACAGGTAGACATTAAGATGTGGGTAGGCTGTGGATAGAGATAGATAATGAAGAATAGGTATATACAGGTAGACATTAAGATGTGGGTAGGCTGTGGATAGAGATAGATAATGAAGAATAGGTATATACAGGTAGACATTAAGATGTGGGTAGGCTGTGGATAGAGATAGAGGGTGGATACGTATAGATAAGTAGACAGTAAGGTGTGGGTATACTGTGGATAGAGATAGATAATGAAGAATAGGTATATACAGGTAGACATTAAGATGTGGGTAGGCTGTGGATAGAGATAGATAATGAAGAATAGGTATATACAGGTAGACATTAAGATGTGGGTAGGCTGTGGATAGAGATAGAGGGTGGATACGTATAGATAAGTAGACAGTAAGGTGTGGGTATACTGTGGATAGAGATAGAGGGTGGATACGTATAGATAAGTAGACAGTAAGGTGTGGGTATACTGTGGATAGAGATAGAGGGTGGATACGTATAGATAAGTAGACAGTAAGGTGTGGGTATACTGTGGATAGGGATAGATAATGATGGATAGGTATACACAGACAGTCAGATGTGTATACTTTGGATAGATATATAAAGATGGATAGGTTACACAGACAGTCAGATGAGGGTATTCTGTGGATAGGGATAGATAAGATGGATAGGTATAACAAACAGTCAGATGTGGGTATACTGTGGATAGGGATAGATAATGATGGATAGGTATACACAAACAGTCAGATGTGGGTTATACTGTGGATAGGGATAGATAATGATGGCTAGGGTATACACAGTTAGAATACTGTGGATAGGGATAGATAATGAGGAAAGGGATACACAAACAGTCAGATGTGGGTATATTGTGGATAGAGATATATAATGATGGATAGGTATACACAGACAGTCAGATGTGGGTATACTGTGGATAGGGATAGATAATGATGGATAGGTATACACAAACAGTCAGATGTGGGTATACTGTGGATAGGGATAGATAATGATGGATAGGTATACACAGTTATACAGTAAGATGTGGGTATACTGTGGATAGAGATAGAGGGTGGATACGTATAGATAAGTAGACAGTAAGGTGTGGGTATACTGTGGATAGAGATAGAGGGTGGATACGTATAGATAAGTAGACAGTAAGGTGTGGGTATACTGTGGATAGAGATAGAGGGTGGATACGTATAGATAAGTAGACAGTAAGGTGTGGGTATACTGTGGATAGAGATAGAGGGTGGATACGTATAGATAAGTAGACAGTAAGGTGTGGGTATACTGTGGATAGAGATAGAGGGTGGATACGTATAGATAAGTAGACAGTAAGGTGTGGGTATACTGTGGATAGGGATAGATAATGATGGATAGGCATACACAGTTAGACAGTGGATAGAGATAGATAATGAAGAATAGGTATATACAGGTAGACATTAAGATGTGGGTAGGCTGTGGATAGAGATAGATAATGATGAATAGGTAAGCACAAGTAGACAGTAGGATGTGTATATACTGTGGATAGGGATAGAGAATGAGGGATACGTATGAAGAGGTATACATTAATGTGTGGGTATAATGTGGATAGGGATAGATGGATACGTATAGAGAGATAGACAAGATTAGAATGGCAGAGAGGAAGACTAGTAGATAGATCGTTGATGGACAGATATATAAATAAATAGATAGATAACTAGAATGTAGATGACTAGGATGTAGATATATAAGGATATTGTTAGACCGATAGATAGAGGCTAGAATATAAAAGGGCAGATAAACAGACAGACGGATAGATATATATATAGATAAATAGATGAATAGGCTGACATATATAATTAGATAGAAATATTGATAAAAGAAAGTACAAGCGGAGTAAGATTGTGATTTAAATTAGTACCCATAAAAGACACATTTACACACACACACACACGCACACACGCACACACACACACACACACACACACAAAACACACACACAAAACACACACACAAAACGCACACACACACACACACACACACACACACACATACAAAACACACACACAAAACACACATACACACACACACACACACACACACACACACACACACACACACACACACACACACACATCAAATAGAAGGATTACCGGACAGACAGGCAAATAGCGGATTAAAACACGTTAAAAAAAATCCGGGAATTAGTAAGTATGTTTACGTTAATCGCCCCTGGCTTCAGATGCCACATAATTTACGTTGGCAATAGTTTATATTATAATTTTTGGAAACACGGGAAGGGGGGGGGAGGGGGGGTTACTGACCTAAAAGTTTATCGACATATGAGGATTCTGAGCATCGGTAATGGATATAAAGAGGATATTATTGGATAAAAAATGTACGTGGATGAATTCATGTTCAGGCAGGTGCTATCGATAGGAATTAGGAAAGACCGAGATAATGGATAAATGCACTGATAATCATTAATAGTGAAGGATAAGCAATACCAAAGATTAAAAAAGAGAAAAAAGGGGTATTTGATGACTTGAAGCGAATATTTCACAGTTGGTATAATCATACTAGATTTAGTATTCAATATAATTACTTTATAGGAGGATTTTATGCTTAATTATTAGTGCTGGGCTATTTGATACAGTCATTTTATATACGTATTTCAAATAGAATATAATGATTTCCAGTCATTTTACGGATATGAGGAATTATAGTCTTGCGACAGTTCCACCAACTAGTTCGACGGAATATGACGACACCAACCTTTGTGTACAATACATCCGCCTTAACCATTAAAATCCTATTACCCTATCCACCCTCCTCGACAAGGACGTAATATTACGCCACCCGCCTTTTCAAGATTATGAAGTTAACCCCTGAGCCTCGTCCATAAACAGGAACTGCAACGAAACAAACAACTGCCTCTCCTCTGCTTCTTAAAATTCGGAACTCCTTCCTGCTTCCGCTTTTCCAGAAACCAAATAATTTAAGCAGGCGTTTTACCGTCATCTCAAAGACTCGTTTTCTCTCTCTCGAATTCAGCAGGTTTTCTCGGATTTTCCTACTTTTTGTTCATAATCTCCAAGCACGTTTCTACTGTGTTCGATTGTGTTTTTCATTAGTTAAAGATAATCAAGAAATTCAACTTGTCTGGTGCTTTGGCTATCTATCTGTCCATATATCTTTTTTCTGTCTATCTACTTATCTACCATGTTTTCAGATTCACTTATTACTTATTATGAATAGTGTATTGACGTCAATAGCTATAAGACAAGGACACTGTATAGAAAGATTCTATTTTATTGATATGTGAGAGATAATTATATGTAGGTACTATTGGTCTATATGTAAGATAAAATACATTTTAATTCGCATCGTGTATCTATCTTCTTGTCTGTCTATCTACATGCCTGCCTATCTCTCTCTCTTATCTATCTGTTCATCTATTCATCCATCCTTCCATTCATCCATTCATTCCTTTCTCTATGCTTAGCGTTCCATCAACTCCAGTACCTTAGTTCAGATCATCTTCAAGTAGTTCCTCCTTTTGACCAACCTCAGCTCTGCCTCCTCTCCGTCTCTCCCTCTCCCCTCCTCAACCCCTACTCCCCTCTTCCTTCTCCTCCTCCTCTCCTCCACCTCCTCCACCTCCTTCTCTTCCTCTCCTCCCCTCCTCCCCTCCTCCTCCTCCTCTCCTCCTCCTCTCCTCCTCCTCCTCCTCCTCCTCCTCCTCCTCCTCCTCCTCCTCCTCCTCCTCCTCCTCCTCCTCCTCCTCCTCCTCCTCCCCTCCTAC